AAAGGGATGTGGCCAGCCTGGAGAGGGTTCAGAGGAGGGCCACCTGCTTGGTGAGAGGGCAGCAGGACAGGCCCTATGAGGAGAGACTGAGGGACCTGAACCTGTTCAGCCTCAGCAAGAGGAGGCTGAGGGGGGACCTGGTGGCTGCCTACAAACTCATCAGGGGAGATCAACAGCAAATAGGCAGAGCCCTTTTCTCCCCAGCACCACCTGGGGTGAGAAGAAACAATGGTAATAAGCTGATGGAGAACAGGTTTAAGTTAGAGATCAGAAGGCAATATTTTACAGTTAGGGTGGCCAAAATCTGAAACCAACTTCCCAGGAAAATGATTCTCGCCCCTACCTTGAGTAAATTCCAGAGGAGGTTGGACAATCACCTGTCTGGGGTCTTGTGAACCCAGCATTCATTCGTGCCTGTGGCAGGGGGTCAGGCTAGATGAGCTGTTCAGGTCCCTCCTGACGCTAGCTACTATGAACTGTGAAACAGTCACTCCTGAGCCCTCTGAAGTACATTAGGGACATGGAAATGGCCTTTAAAACAGTTGCTTGCAAAGCCCCACTGAAGGTTAAACAGCATCTTGCACCTGCATGCCCAGAGGGGACAAGAATGTGCTTGACAGGGCTTCCATGGACTCTCTGGCACAGCATCTACTTTTAGCAGCCCCAGGACTTTATATCTAAACCGGCCATGGGAATGGCTATGGCTGTGAGATCAGACCCTCTTTCTCCCCACTTCACCCTGGTGACATCCACTGGAGAGACACCTAGTATCTGTCAGGGAAGCAGCACTGCTCCATGGCAGCATTCCCTACCAAGCCATGCATCATGAGCAGGGGTTGCTGGACGTGGCCATGTGAGATGTTACAAAGCTGCAGCCGCACCATACCTCTTTCATCCCTGAGCACATCACAGTGGGGCAGGCCCCCCAGAGGTGGGTCATATCTGGAGACTAAGTGAAAGAATCAGAGGCTGTTGGACTGAGGGGCAGCAGCACTGTCCCTAAAGCAGCTGTCAGTTCTGCTTGGTTTAATCCTAGTTCTCATTGCCGTGGCAGCCTCCTGAGCAGTCCTTTGCAAAGGCCTTCAGGAGTCCCTCTGTATGTTGTGAGAAAGCAGGGTGGTTCTGACACTTTGGCAGGTGACCAACAAGAACCACTACCTCACCTGAGCCCCAGCCTGTGAGATGGGCGTAGAAATATGAGGCAGGGATAGGGCGGAGTGGGTAGTCGGCAAAGGGGCTTGCCTCTGGGAGGACCCAAGAACATCCTGTTGACAGGGGCTGCACCCTGGGCAGCCAACCCAGCCTGCAGGATGCCGGTGCTGTTGCTCCCTCATCTAATTTCCCTGCACAAGAGGAGAAAGGCAGGGCTAGCAAAGAAAGCAGTACTGGACCTGTGGAATGAGGCTGCCATGGAGGGCTCAAGTGTGCTGCTGCCCCAGCCTGCCTCTCTTCTGTACACCCTTCAACTGGCCCAGGTACCCACTCTGGCCCTGGAATACAACTTGGGCTGTGAGGAACTGTGTACATCGTGAGCTGTGTACACATATTCTGCTGGCCTACTCAGTACCCATGTGCTGCACCATTTTGACGTGCTCAACAGAAGGGATATGAAAGCCTTGGCCCTTGTGTGTGGCCTAAGTCAGACAAGGGCTAGATCTGTGTGGTGCCTCTCTCCATTCAGTCAGGGCAGTGTGATCCACCACAGAAGCCAAGCTGTCTCTGAATTTCCACAAGCTTGCTCCTTATGTTAGGAAACAGTCTTACCTCTTGTTTGTGACTTAGCAGCTGTTTTCAGCTGTGTCTCTGAGCCACTGGGTGACCCTGCACAAGTTGCCTCCTCTCCCTGTGCCTCAGTGTCCCCAGCTATTTAAATGGAGAGAAAGACACTGACCTCCATTGTAAAGTGGAGACGTGCTGGCAAAAAGCGCTTGACAGGAGCTAGGAGAGTGGTGGCTCATTTTCCTAGTAAGGCTGGGTATGTGTTGCAGCCACCGAGCAGTTCTGGTTTTGGGGCTGGCCATGGGGTGTCCCTGTGACAGATGCTCCCCCTGCCTAGGATAAGAGTTCCCATGATGCCATATGTACCTGTGTGTGGCTCCCAGTGTCTTCTGCCTGCATGTGCCCCCTCAGGCTGTGGAGAATGCTTCTTCCCATCTAGAAACCTCTAAGAGCTGGAAGCTGTAGAGCAGTTTTCTGGTGGGGGTGAGCATGGGCCAGCTGGGAACATTGTGCCTGCTGTGCAAGCTGCAGACTTGGACAACTGTTGGGCTAGAAAGGAAGGCGTGCTTGCCCCTCACCCCAAATACAGCATCGCCCTGTACCACCTTCCTCCCTGCAGAGCCCCTCTGCAGTACAGACTGGGTCCCCCTTTGCAGAGAGTTGTGGGTCTGGGCCACCAGGGAAGAGGTTGCCTGATGCTCAAGTAGAGCCCCTGGGAAGCCAGCTGACAGCCTCATGCCCCCCAAAACCAGGGCACGCTGCTGCCTTCTGATGCTTCCTTTGATTTTTCTGTCTCCTGGGGACAGACTGCTGGCCCCATTGTGAAGCCCTTGGCTTTATGCCAAGCCAGACCCTAGGGCAGGTATGAGACTGTTGGCAGTCAGGCATGCTGCCTCCCAAAGGTGTGGCTCACAGTTCTGGCTGCCTCCAAATAACAGCAGGTGGAACAGGACTGACCAGCCTTGTCTGAGTAACCAGGGACGGGGCTGGATCATACTCTGCTCACCCATTCACCTTACTAGCATCAGATTTCCAAAGCTCCTTTCCTAGCAAAGGTTCCTGAAGTACCCAGAGCCCCCACAAGGACAGCCTCTCTCATGGCTGCCACGACAGGATGGGATGGCCTTGTCTAAGTAACTAGGGACAGGGCTAGGTCATGCTCTGATCCTTCCCTCTTCTTGCTGTGGCCCACTCAATGGCCAGGTGCTGGCAGCCCACAGCCAAGATATCACAGATGACTCCTGAGATATGTAGGGCTGCCAGACTGGGTCCCCTGCAAGCTGGCAGCCCTGAGCATTGCCAGGGGCTTGCTCCCTACCCTGCGGGTATCAAGTTCCCTTCCAGGCCTCTACTCAGTCAGTCCTTGTGCCCTGCCTTCCACTCCCCTGGTTCCCAGTCTTCTTGGGCAGTGGGTTCTGCCAGCCCTGCACCCTCTCTGTGCTGAGCTCAGTTAGGCCACACAAAGCTCCACACTCACAGAAAAGTGACGGGAGGCCTTGATCTCCCTGGCGTGAATGAAAGAAGCTGTTTGGGAGGGCAGCGTGTCCCTAGCCTTTGGACACAGGGAGAACCAAGCCTTGATTTCCTAGTGATGGCATATGCAGTGTTGCCGGTAGGCAAAGGAGCTGGGCTGTGCCCCCCAGTGCCCCCCAGTATAGTTGGGCCTGTAGGATTGTCCCTCAGGCTGCTGCAGTCCGGGTCTGCCTGAGGATCTAGGAGCTATTGCCAAGCAAGGCTCTGCAATCAGCCCC